CAAATCAGTCACAAACAGAAGATACAACAAATGAGTTGAAAGAAGCAGGGACCATCCTAGAGAGGCTGCTTGCACACGAGACAGTACGGAAGAAGTACTCACTCAAATACAGGAAAAAATCAACCAATTCAAGGAAACACTCGCTTCCCTTCGAACATCCAAGTTATGGTTACAGTACATAGAGATGATTGAAATACTCTGCAGTTCATTAAAGCTGAAAAAAATGGTAACTGGTCTCTCCATCTAAAAGCTCTTTCAGACATGATTCCATACTATGCTGCATCTGGCCACAATCTTTATGCAAAGTCAGTGTACATATATTTTCAGATTATGTCAAAACTACCAGAAAGTAATGCTGATGTATTTCGATCATTCCTGAATGGATACCATGTGGTTAGGCGGACAGCCAGGTACTGGGCAGGTATATTGACTGATCTTGCAATTGAACATGTGTTGATGAGGAGTGTCAAAACATATGGCTTGCCTCTGATGGACTGATGCATGAAGCAAACAAGTTAGCTTTACCCGAAGCAGTCTTGATATGTGTTGGTCCCATTATTAATGACATGTCCATTGAGGTTAAGTATGTTATCGAAGAATTCAATGGCCGCGAGGACTAACATATAAGGGCATCCACAGTTGTTTTTGATGGTTATCCAGATATACCATCAACAAAAGACACAACTCATCTTAGGCTTTCAATAGGGAAAATGTCTACAGTGTTATCTTTGACTCTGCGTGGTTATGAATATGAAGAAACAACTGTTGCTTGCAAATGCAGCAAATAAACGACGGTTCATTAATATCCTGGAAACTGAACTGAAAGAGAAGGGAATGATGTTCGACATGCTGAAGAAGATGGAGATGTCCATATAGTGATGGCAGCTGTAGACTATACTGTCAATGCACCAACGGTAGTTGTAGGTGAGGACACGGACTTGTTGTTGATCTACAAAACTGTATTTAAAACCAGAGGCACGGCGAAATACAAAAACACGAAGTCAAAGTGTGAGACATAAAACATACCAAAGACAAACTATGACCACTTGTTTGCAAAAACCTATTATTTATACATGCTTTCTTGGGCTGTGACACCACATCCAGGATATATGGCTGAGGTAAGAGTCTGTCCTTGAAGAAATTCCAAACCAACAAACAGTTTCAATGTCTTGCTTCAGGGTTTGAACAAGATGATGCTTCAAAAGACGATATTATATGGTGGCAAGTCCGATAAAACATTGAATTCACTCAGAATCGGACAATTCTTTCAAGAAGTTGCTACAAGCGTTACATGTGTAAGGCCTGAGAATATTCCACCAACATCTGCAGCTGTAGGTTACCATAGTCAACGGGTATACCACCAGGTTCTGATGTGGAAAGGGCAAACTCATGTTAATCCAGAAGAATGGGGCTGGAAAGTGAAGAAGGGAAAATTGCTTGATATCCAAACTGATAAGCCTCCTGCACCTGACAAGTTACTAAAAGTTATCAGATGTAAATGTAAAGCAGATTGTCGAACGACACGTTGCACATGTAGAAAACATGGACTAGAATGCTCCCCCATGTGTGATGAATATACAGGTGTAAGCTGTAGAAAGTCACCCAATCTGGATCTTGATGATGATAATGATCAACTATAATATTATAAACTTAGAATTATACTATCTTGATTTGATGATTGGCCAACCAACCAACCTATTTTCATACCAATCCCAAACAGAATGGAGGTATGACAAAACACAAGTCTGATCATGGTAAGTTTGTAACTGTCTCATTCTACCACATACTTTGACATATTTATTGATATATTCGATACCTCACAAGTCTTGACAATCACTCTTTTGATATTACCACACCAAACCTTGATATGAACCCCCTTCATTATGTGATCATTGCCACATTCTACATACATGTAACTGTGAAGTGTCCTTCATATATATATCACGATTGTATCACCATTGTATCATACAATCACATATACTTTGATAAACACGATCTATTTATAATTCGTAGGCGGTGAGAGTTATGGAGACCGACTGCAGCAAAGTATCATGTTGATTTGGCGAATTATGGATCTAAATATGCCCCAAATATTCCTGAAATTTTGTTTTTTTTAATAATGAAAATGATATATGAACAATAATCGCAGAGTTTTCTATATTGTGTGGAATTTATACTGATAAAATGCCAATGAAACAAGACTAATACCAGACCCTGTGTATTTCTGAAAACATCACCACTTGGTGGCGCTGTACATGTATATAGAGGGCGCTAGTCGCTTCACCATGTGGAAAAAAATGTTTAGCTGACTAAATATGATAAGTGTGGTAAGTGTGATAAATATGTGGATATATTGACCATTATTATCCCATATGCATTTGTATATGTACGTCTTAATGCATCAATTATATGGGCAATATCAATGCCTGAAAAATTCAACTTTCCCTTTGTCCGATTTTGGTAGACCTTTGATATGTTGTTTATAGATGTCTATTGATGCTAAATCTGCAAAGAAACTTTCTGTTGCAATTTTGTCCGGGTTGACCTAAATATCAAATGGGATTAACTGGACTAATTGCTTTCAAATGACATCGGCTTCACATGGTCGACGGACTTCTGACGTCAGCAATGACGTCACCATGTATATGACGTCGTCATGCGTGTTGCAGTGATCTGTTGCAGATGCAGATTTATATTTCATTCATTGTTTTTAAAATATTGTTGGCTATACTGTGATACATGTCAATGGCAATTAGAGGTTATTACATGGTTGGATATCTGCGGTATGTAAAATCAGTGTTAAAAAACAAAAAATCTTCAACATGCTCTAAAAAAAATGCCCAACGGTTTAGGTCTTGGGGTTTTTTTTGGTCATTCTCAATGACCTTAGCCAACGTTTGAAACACAATTCGCTAATGTACTGTTTTATTCCACGTCAAACCCTAAATCCACTTGACTAAATAGGCACATTTGTTACTCCCAACCACGTTATAGATATAGTTTTCGTTTAGTATAGTTTTATTATTTGCGCCAAGTTTTAAGTTTGACACTTAAAAATATAGTACAAGTTTGTTTTTGTTTTTTAATTTTGACAGAACCTGTTAAATTGAATTTTTGCAATTTGTTTCTTGTACATCGCAGGACCCCTGCGGATATTTGTACAAAACTCGGTGTCTTCCTTGTCTCGACATACTGCAGATTTGGCAGCACGATATAACCGCAAATCTTCAGTGAAGTTTCCATCATATTTGTCAATTTTATCCCAAAGTGTTCGATTGAAATAATTATACATTCGTATGTCTTCTACCATTCCCGCGGCGAGTACATTTTCCATATCTTTCGTTATGTTCAGTTTCTTTCTAGCAGCTACTTTTTGTGAATAGTACATTACATCATCTATTGTCCAGCACATCATCTTTTTCAAGAGAACCAATGATTCGTCCATGTATTCTGTAATCATCACGAGGGCGAATTGTTTATCTAGTTCTTTTAGTGTACTTTTGAAATTGGTGTAATTGCCATTATTTTCAACGTGGTATCCTAACCAGTGTAGTTGTCGATACCTCACTGCACGTTTCGCTTTATTTTTGTAACTTTCATCTGTAAGAAATGTTTCGAATGGATTGCTGCTGTTTTGGAGACCATGGCGGACGTGTAGTTTGAAGTAATAGAAATATGATTCAAACTGACGATATGGGGAACGAACAATGGTGATGAACTTGGCATTTGGAATAAAATTATTTAATACGCTGTAGTTATAGTTTCCAATGTGGTTCGAAATGTAATTATATCCGGGAAATGGCTTCGTACAGTTATAATTAGTAGCTAAGACTTCTGAATCTCGAATTCGGAGAAATACATCAGATGGAGGATCAGGGAGCGCAGCAGTCAGATTGTGCTGAAATCCATATCTGTAGAGAATGCTTGCAACAGTGCTGCCACCTGTCTTTGCTGTCTTAACAAATATAAAATTAACTTTTGGCTCACATCTGCTGTATTCTTTTGCTGTATTATCTTGATTTAGCATTCTCTGAACATAAACCATACTAGTTTCCCATCTAATAAAAAAAGAAATTATATATAGTTAAATAAATACTATTCTCAGTTAAAATGAAATACAAATATTGTATTTCAACCAAAACCTCATTTTATTTTGTTGGCACCACCTCGACCACCGTAATTTGTGGTGGCTATGTTCATACATCTTTGCCAGGGTCTTTAGGCCGTGCACTCTGTACAATTATTCCAGGATTAATTATGTTATTGTACATAATTAATGTTTTAGATGAAAAATAACTCAAAATCAACAAATGAGGAGTAAAATATGACGAATTAAAAACAAACGGCGTTGGTCTCAGATTTTTTTAATTCTTCGGATTTTAATGAAAAAAATATTGATAATATGAGGATGAATATTTTCTTCTTCTTGAGAAGATGATGGCATACTTGGAGTCAATTTCGAACAATTGTGTAGTCCGTAGTAACATTATTTGTCATCTCTCATATATCTAGTCACATGAAAGGAATAAATAACCCTGACGCTTCCCTCCACTACAATGTCATCCGAATTTAGATCAACTTTGCATACCGAAATGCAATATACGGTCTAAATACGGATATATTTTGCAAACTCGGTGACAATGTGAAGCTGTCAGGATTGCGTCCTTTTTAATCGCTGGTAGCATCAGTAAAGTGGATCTGCCCAAAACCTCGGAAACATAAAGGGATTTACACCTCGTAATCCACAAAATCCTCGAACGTTAGAAAATTAAAAACAAACAGTCATTGTATTGCGCTCGTATTGTATTATATATTTCCAACTATAATAAAATTAAATTTCTTAAAAATCGTCTTTACGGGCATTGTTTGGAAGAATTACAACGGGATTGTGATATCTTTTTGTTGGAGGCGTTAGATTCGGGGGGAAATAATGTAATATTTCGACAACTTCTCTTTCAACGCAAAATCAAAAGTTACCTCAAGATAACGCTATAATATCAAATCTTGTAAATTTTGTAATATGTATATTCTAACATTCTTTACACAAATATAGGCGCTTAAGTTTATTGCAACTGAATAGCCTATTGATATTAAATAGACAGATTCGTGAAGCAATGTATTGACTTCTGTTGCATATATTACAGTTTACATATCACTTAAAAGAGTGAACATGTCAATTGAAACATGAACTGCAAAATGCGTTTGATTGGTTGCAAGTAGATATTATTCCCAGACACATGAATGGCCGAATTTTCAGTTACGCGTAAATTACCGTACACATTAGTAGAAATCTTCATTTTTCATGTTCTACCTATAACCACGGACACTGTTGAAGTTGAATTAAACTCCAATTAAATAGCTACCCTATATATAAGTTAACTTGATATGTTGTCAGTGGTATGTGATCACTATGTTAAACTTGCATTTGTGTGCACGAGTATGCGTGTATTTGTGTTCGTATTGTAAATACGAAACTAGTTACAGCAAGTACTAAGAAATTTGGTTTGCATGTTTCTCGAGCGGTTCACAATACCATGACACATTAGGAGTCAAAGTTACAGTGGGAGATTATTTATGTTTCTTAGATAACTGTGGTAGACTTGGCAAAGGTGTTTTCAGGGTCAAAATGGCAAGGTAACATAATAGAGCCACAAGAGGGAATAGCTAAGAACTTCAAATCCGCAGATCTGAACTATGTAATATACATACAAGGACAATAGCCAGTACCATAACAAATAAGCAATTCACGAGACAATGTTTAATGGGTCACAGTGTGAGTTCATTTATGTGTGTTATATAACTATAGGGCCTAAAAACGTGGCAGACATGTTCTACGTCAAAGTATGTTTTTGCATGTTCTGTACTAGGATGTAATTAATGTAATGTGTACGTTAGATGCACACGTCAAAACCAATGAATTTTGCAGACTACTTTCAAAAGCTTTATATATTTTATGATAAGCAAACATATGGCTCACCTTGTTTTCACATGTTTATTTATCATTTTATCCAGTATGTATTTAGTAAGAACAGAGGTCGTGTCCTTTGTCACAACAAACTAAATTAAAATAATTTACTGCTAATTTAAACCAACAATGTGTCAGACTGAAAATAACTTTTTAGCTTTTGCTTTCATTTTAAGTATTAAAAACACTGCATTTTTGTGGTCACAATATATAAAGTAATCAACAAAGTAATTTACTTTAAAAGGCAATATACACCTAAGTAATGACACCACTTAAATGAGTTACTGACATTGCATTGCGTCAACTATTTTCTCAACAAAATTCAGTATACATACGGAATTCTTAATTAGAAACAAACAACCAACTCTCAGTCACATTGTGTTTGACCCAATATAAAACTGTAAATGAGAGAAACCACATTCAAGTTTTCTATGCAACAATCATCGATGTTTAATACAACTATATACATATCAGCCGATAAATAATAGTTGAGACTGCTCGTGCATAAACGGCGTCATAGTGTCCAATAACCCCGGCCGTTTGCATGAACGGAGTAGTTTAAACTTGTTTGATGTAGGATACTGCTCATTTATTCTTTCCATGACTTTGTTAGTATTACTTAAGTTTCTTAATGGCTTATCTGATGAATCAGTTGAAAAAAATAACCAATATGTGGATTCTTGTTGAAGAGTTCAACGTAAAATGCTTGCAACACTACATGTGCCGGCCCAGTTGACATCTGGTTACACAGAATGTAGGGGCATGGTATATAACTATTACGCATAAATATACAATACCTGTAATATATCGCCGTTAATGCCAACAACGAGAATAGAGGTACCACCAGCATATATCGCCTTACCACCATCGTTGTCCACATGAAGAGTAATGACGACAGCCTGTACTTATATACAGTATTATGCACACATCAAATACAAGCGCACAAAGCACAAGAGATTAAGGAAAGAGATATCCCAACCATATATGTGCAAGCTTTATTTTTTAAGCACATGAATGTCAAAATGTTTCATGAAGTACACAAAAAAGACGCCAATCACGACAATGTAAGTAAACCAAATGAATGAAATCAGCTTCTGATGACCCAGAATTGGAATGTACCTACAAATACAAACCAGTTCTATGCAACTCTTACATTCATTGATGATTTTGGTGAAGCAAAAACAAAGTCATATATTAATGTTAATAACAATGTGCTGTCACATTTAATGACAAGTGTGACATTAGGTATAATGGTAACCCTGTATTTCAGAAGTTTATATAGCTTGGTTACTCCAGATGGTGAATGTCAATTCAAAGATGAGCTGTATACACTTAACTTTGAAGTGGTACATGATTAAGTCTGCACTATCTGGTGTACTGCAAATATATTAATCAACAAGAATGTCAGAAATGTCGTAAACAAAGTATCAAAAGAACATATACAAAAATAAATATACTAAATACTGTGATGTATTCTAAGAATGTTGTTAGAATTTGTCTACCTGGAGAGTATGATACATATATTTACATGCGTATATGAATACACACTATTACCTAGGTATGACCTCAGCCTGTGGTGATATGCATTTTATACTTTTCATAATTCAATTAATGTGACACTAGCTGATACTCTTGATTATTGCATTTCAAACTTCAAATTTCAAACAATTGCAGATGAATGTGTTTAGTATTTCTAAAAAAATTCAAATGTTTTATGCCGTTTTTCTCTTAGAAAATACAAGTCATTAAAAGTCACATAACCACAATATACATCTTGTTTCTGATCTAAATTACACATAAGTTGTACTAGATGCCATGAAAATAGTCAAATCTGGTTTAATTTCAATCCAATATGGCTGTCAAACCAATTAACCAATCGAAATTCTGAAGGTTTTTCGCAATCGACTTGACAAGAAAATAAGCAGGAGAAGAAGTAGATGCAGACGTTGTCAGCGTGGCACAAGCTATCAAATTCAGGATTTAGTCGCACTGTGTATTATAAGGCAATATAATTTGTATGTACAGCGACTTCTCAAAAAAAAGTTGAAAAGTTTGAAATCATCATGATGCGTGCACTGCAAGAAGATGGGCCATAGACCAATAGTAATAAATGCCTATGTTAGAAATACTGATCTCCAGTGCAAGTCTGCAACGTCACACAAGGGAATGTTTAAACAAAGCAGTAGATACATCTTTTAGCCATAACTTTCGTCCACATGGGTTTAGAATATTTCAACAATATGGCCGACGAGTAGAAACTCAAATTGCAGCTAGTGTTCCTAAACAAATGGTACACATTCATGTGTTGTATTATCCACAAAACATTGTGTATGGTAAACATGTCTTTATGTTGTGGACAATGTGGATTTTGCTATGACAGCCCAAGTGGGAGCAGAACTCGCATGCAACTGCCATGACACTCTATCAGAAAAGAATTGAATTAAAAGCTCCTAGGTTTAGCTGAGACTCGTACAATCAAAGATTTTCCTCAAACTAAAACTCACCTCATATATTGTATAAAACCTTCTATCCTGCCCAACATGCTGGCAACTTTAGGGGAGACTAATACTATCTTTACTTTGTCTGGATATTAAGTGATGTTGTGCCAGTAATGCATGATAATATTAGAGATTCCCCATCCTTCAAACGAATGAAATACTTGGTAACAATCCTAACGCAGGCACAACGAATCAAAACAAAAGATTTACTTCCATCATATCACTTGATATGGGACTTTACAGGCGACTTCATGACTTGGGCAACTAGTGTCTTCGCCATCATATTGTGATGGCAGAATTATGTTCCGTTGGTACCTTTATTGAGAATAGTGGAATTGACTCGTGTTGGATTAAAGCTGATCTATATGGAATTGCCACCATGAAGGTGATCATCAATGCAAACTATGTTGCACTAAATTAAACAGCACACATTGTGAAACATCAAACCTTATTTACATTGTGGCAAAAGACATACATTGAAAACCCAGCATTCAAATATGGAAGTGCTAGAGATATGCCGAATTACAAGTTGTCAATGTCATCTAATCAGTATTAGTGATGGGGAAAATGAGTGAGTTTTACAAATTCATAGGAAATGAGCCTTTGTTTCGTGTTATGCTTCAGTATATGCACATTGTTTTGGAAATGATGCTATTTGACCGTGAAGTGCATACTGGGGACCCAGAGCTGCATTTGAGTTCTCTTCAAATTATTACATGATTGTTTCAACTATGCCCAAGTGATTCATGATACCTACAAGAAACGAAGTCCATCAACAAGTCTGACCCGGAACTTTATGGAAGAATGCAGAGGTAGCATACAGTGTCATTGGTGATGATCATTCACTTGAGCAAGTTAACAGATCTGTGAAAGTATCTGGTGCATTAGTGTACATAACACTAAACCACTCTTCATGTACCAAGTTTTTCTTGGTCTCTCCTAAGCTTGGCAGACTAACTACATATTTCTCTGGGCGAACACAACACCATGCCCTTTTTCTTTTCAGCTGTACTCAGAATTGTAATATTGAAGGTCTAATTGCAACTAAAATTGTACAATTCATTTTGCAGCAGAGAGTGATGAGTTACTTACTCTCACATAACTGATTTCATTACTAGATTAAGTTAACGAGAATCTCCGTAGACAAAACAGGATCGGTCATAGGTCTGTGTCAGAGCAGATTCAGAAGGGATATAGCGATTTGTGGTCTCCAATGAAGGAACAGAGCCTTTCTACTTCACTAAGTTAAGTTATCTGCGAAGGATTATGTGTTTGAACTCAAATGAGATAAGGCTCTGTTTGCCTGTTTACTTGTCAAGGCCTTAGATCAACCTGAAGTTGCTATTGGCAAACACGAATTGTCTGTTGTTCCAATGTCTATGTTTGCGGCTGATAGAATCATATTTCAATGTTAGACAAACCATGACAGACAGTTGATAGATATAATACAATCTGAAAATAAAGAGAATAACACAACACCAAAGAACGTATCCCTGGTAGATGCAATGGCAAAAACGGATGCAATAAAAATTATTATGAAATTATAATTAACGAATTATAATGAAATAAGAATGATTATTGACTAATACGATATACCCAAATCATTGAAAACAGAAATTCAAATAAAGAGACAGGGGGGGTCACCAACAATGTTTTACCATGACACCGACTCACCAATCATTTCCGAGCTATCCATGAAGAAATTACCATCACACACAAATACAGTGATGATTAACTAAATATCTTGCAGATAAGATACTGGTAACTGTCCAGTAAAATCACTGTATCATTGTGGCAGTTCGAAACCAGTGCAAAGGTACACACAGTGATCAGAACTACCTGAACAGTAAACAAGAATATGTGGATATAAAGATTTTACTATACGCAATTGATGCAACAAAGTCCGTGGAAATGAGTATCCATATGCATTCTCCAATGTATTTGGTCTTTTGCTAAGGCAGTACAATATCTTGTGTAAAAACACTTCATTTTTAATGTGATCAAGACTAGGGCTCGAGCTAACAACTGCAGTACCCGGTTTCCATGCGCTCAGTGGTGCTTATAACACTAGTAGATTTGCAGAGAAAAGAGAAGACACTTGCTGGAAAGCCTTTCGAGATTCTGGCGATGAATTATTAGAAGCAATGGTCAGTCTTGGTATAAGTGTGTAAGTAACAGATGTAACTTTGATGACATAGAACAATTCGTATATAAGCTTTACCTTTCCAACACACGCATATCGAAGATAGATGACTTGCAGTCGTTACTATTTAAGAAGTACAGGCGGGGAAGTGAGGATATGACTAAACTCAATCTACATTTTGGGATAAATAGTTGTTGATGCTAAAACATATAGTTTCGATAATATTATTCAATTACAGTATGTACTCCGTCACAATATTATTTTCTTAGTGTTCAACTATGCTTTAGTGAACGAATGAATAAGTAACCAAGTCTGTTTCAAGTTATTTACTAACTGCATACCTATTTTAATTGTGATCTCTGATTTTGCATGATGTACTCGTATTAGTAATTTGATTTATTATAGTAAAAATGTGTTTTGATGACAGATACTACAGAATATTGATTTTTAGTACTAAAGGCCAACACAATTGATATGATTTCTCATGTTAAAAATAAAAGTTGACACTTGAACTGGTAAAATTTGATATTTCAATTTGTTATTCTGGTCGGAAATTCTGAATGGCGGTTTCTAGCAGCGAGCGTGGGCAGAATTTTGAAAAAAATAACGAACGAAGAAATCAATAGCTAAAAAGGTGTTTGAGTAATATTCTAAAACATAAAACACAACTAGATGTGTTTTTACTAAAATAAATGAGTTTTCAATAGACCAATACACTACTTTTCCGAATTAGGTTCGTGCAGGGAGCTGGTTCGTGTAAACTACTTACTTGGGGAGCCACTTTCGTTTTCGCACCCTAGGCCACGGCACCAGATTTATTCACACTACCTGCTTAGACTTCGTACTTGATATGGTTAAAATGAGTTTGAGAACCTTCAAACCGTTGCAA